GTACTTGCTAATTTTTAAAAAGGGGGAAACTTTGATTGGCCTGCAAATTTATACAGTGTATACTATTTAATTATGCTTTGAATAATTTTGGGTATTAATTTATACAGTGTATACTATTTAATTTTGGGTATTAATTTATGCTTCTTTTTCCGTTAATTAGTTTGGTAGCGATTCAAATTCTTCCAAAATTTGGGGCGTGACAGTTTGGTATCAGAGCGCAGAGTTTATAAAATCGATTCTGTAGACTAAAATAATTAAGTTAGAATTATGATATTGGGTATTGAAAATTTTAAATTTGTTAAAGTTGATTTATACATGAGTATTAATTTCAAAATCACATATTTATGATTTTCATGTAGATCTATGTCTTGAGTATATCTTTTATGTGGACACACTTATTTTATGGGCCGAAGAAGAGAATTCACTAATTCAATAATGGATTGTTGTTATAAGATTTGATGTTTTCATTCAACATCTAGTGTTGTTTTAATAATACGAAGAGTCAACAACTCATGGAGTGTATATACAACCCTAATTATAATACTTTAGGTGAAATGAGTATCTTAAAATTTGCCACGCTTGGACCGGATAACATCGTCGCTCAAGCTCCAAGCTCTCGGGTAGTGACCGACGACCTCCTTGTTCTGAGCATTGAAGCGAGACCTTAGCGATCAACGAGCAGAAATGTGTCTACTTTTTCTCCTTGGTCCATATTTTGACTGCTTTAAGGCATTTTCAACCAAATCACCAATACCCAACGGAATTCGGGTCACATTTCAACAAATTTTCACATTGACACGAATTACAATTCAAGAAATTACACTTTACTCTTAACAAACAACTTTCTACCTCTCCTACAACAGACCTAAAGGGTAAATTCAGTAACAGAGAGTCAGAGACCAACCAAGTCCAAGCAATGCTCATGCTTGGTTACAAGGAGTGACTTTGTCATCATATCAGTGACATTCTCTCTGGTATCAACTTTTCTCACTACAATATTACCATGCCCAATCACTTTGTGAACAAAATAATATCTCACATCAT